TAACAGGAACATCAAATTTTGCCATGATATCGAGCTTTCCGAGTCAAGACCGATAAACACCCGGCAATATAGGATACTCCACATTATGCTTCCCAAGTTGAAAGAAAAAATAAACTCCTACCTGGATGCTGGAATCATAGAAGAGAGTAATTCTCCTTGAAACTCGCCCATACACATCGTAAATAAAGATGATGGAGACATTAGAGTTACGTTGGACCTACGACGGGTAAATGACGTAACCATTAGTCAGGACTTCCCTATGATGAGGGTTGATGATATTCTGATACAATTCAGAGGAAGTAAGGTGTTCTCAGTCCTTGATTTGAGCTCGGGGTACTTCCAGATCCTCATCAAGAAGGAGAAAAGGGAGGTCATTGCTTTCTCCACCCCCTGGGGGAAATATCAACTGTGTCGCATGCCCCAGGGCGGAAAAAAACAGTGGTCGTTAGTTCCAGAGTGTAATGAATTGCGTCTTGGCTCGTTTCATAAGACATTCGTGCTTTGTCTTCCAAGGCGACGTTGTCCTATTCTCCAGCGACTTAGACGAACATATATCACTCATCCATAAAGTGATGGGCGCCATAGATAAAGCAGAATTGAAATCGAATCCAGAGAAGTGTAAATTTTGTGTCCCTGAAATAAGATACCTAGGCCACATCATAAATGGAAAGGGGATCAAACCTGACCCTGAGAACGTCAAAGCGATAACGGTCGTACCATCTCGCACAAAAGACGTTAGAGCATTCCTCGGAGTGATCAATTACTACCGACCATTTATTCAAAATCTCGCACACAGTACAGTAAATGTAGAGACATGCTCTACTCTATTTTCAGTTCTGTTTCAGCCAAAATTTCAAAAAAATTTTTACGTTTAAGCCGAATTTTACGCATGTGTGTTCCTGGTCTAATGTGTATGGAGAAGATGTTCCTAAACTTCGAACGTGTCAAATGTGGTTTAAAAGTTCCGTTTGGGATATTTTAAACTAAAAGATATAAAACGTACGGGGCTCCTAAAAGCTTTTGACAAAAAAAGACCGCAGGAATAAATTGTTAAAAATCGACGACTGACGCACATTATAGTATATATAACCAAACACACCAAAAATAAACCGAAGAAGCATTGAAAACATACAAGCATAATGCGAGAGCGAAAGATGAATTGGACGCTTAATGGGTTATGTTTATGCTTCTAGCAGATTATTTCACTGAGCATACGGTTCGAACTCCGAAGCATCTTTCGAAACCTGAGGCTAATTTTTATTGAAATTTTACTTTCGAACTACGAAATATCATTGTAATACATTATCTCTACGCTCTCGCTCCATCCCACCAGTCCAAGAAGGTTACGACCTCTGTCTTACACGAATCATGAAATTAGTTATTAATATAATAATTATTCTATTTGCTTTTTATTCTAAATTTTTTTACAAGAATTTCAAAAATGTGATGATAGACAAATACGCACAACCATCTGAATAAGTTGTTTTGTTTTTTTTAACTGTCAGCACTGTGGGCACCTTTTAGCAAGCCCTTTATGAGTTCGGCCAGGCCCATAATGGGGCGGCCGGATGGTGAAGGACGGGCCCCTTAATCATATTCGGACGGAGTAGACGGACCATCTCCGGAAAAATTCCTAAGGATTTATCGATCTGTCCAGATTCTGATCCTAGGTCCTCTAGAGCAGTAGGCGGCACCTTGATCGCTCGACCATCCGGCCGTCAAACCGTCAGACTAAGTAGCGAATTAAATAGCTATTACGTAACAACCATTAATATCTTTATATAAAATATACATTTTATTTTTAAACTGATTTACATCAATAAATATGAAATTCGTTTATTTATTTATTTTTTTTATATAATAAATTTTTATAATACAGTACTGTATTTGTAAATTTTGAAATCTTTCGAACGAAGAACCTCTACCGTCAAAAATTGGCATTAACGTAGAAAAGATCTGCGAGGAACACGTTTGATT